TTTTTTTTTTTTTTTTAAGAGAAGAACAGAAGAAGAAATGAGAGAAAGAAGGAAAAGATAGTTTATTTTTAGAGATTTATTTTATTCACCTCTGGGGTGGGGATTGAACTCATGCGGAAGTGGCTTTAGCTTCTTAGTGCTGTGCTTTAACCCGCTGCGCCACCAGGGAGGGCCTTTTTATGCTTACATAGGCATAACCATTGTTTACCATTGCCAAATAATATAGCGATGAGGCTGGGTTTAACAACTTTTTGTGCATTTTTTCCCCCATCCACACAAACTTGTTCTCAGTAGGTTGCTAAGTGCGTGTTCGTCTATGTTTTACTCTAAGAAATTCTTATTCAATAATATAATCTAGCTTAAAATTTACATTTGGCTGTTTTGATTGAAGAATATAAACTTTGGAATTATTTTCCCTAAAGCCCTCTTGAAGATGACCATTTGAACTACATAACTTTTCAACTTTGTTAATAGAAGGAAATTAATTTTCTGAAAAAAGGAATGGCATTATGTATATGTGATATATGCTGAGGCCTGGTCTTGAAAGAAATTCTGCATTTATAGACTTATGAGTTCAGCTACTTAGCTATATGTAGAGCAAATATTTAATTTCAAGTTCAACTGACATATTTCAAGGAGCTAATCCATTTTATGACAAAGCAAGGGAAATTGAAATATGCACCTTGCAGGCTAAGTTAATACATCTGATTTTAGTTTAACAGGATGTTTCCTATTTTTAGTAAGATCAGAAAAGTTTTATATGAAATTGCATTTCAAATTCAGGACCTGCCACCTACTTCAATTAAGTTGGCTCTTTCCCTCTGATTGAAATACATGTCTCATCTTCCTATCCATATTGCCACCAGGGGGCATAACACAACCTGCATAACCAATGCTAGCTTAACTCCATTTTAAGACTTGGAACTTCAAAGCTGAAAATTTTAAAGTGACAGTAACAACTCCAAAAACAAACAAAAAAAAAGCACCAGCACTTAGAGACAATCTGTTTAGAGTCAAAATAGACTCAAAATGGTATCTTCCTTTTTAAAAATATTTTGCTAAAAGGATGACTCATCCCAAAACTCAAATTCTGATACTGTTACTATATGTCTGGATTATTTTCTCTGTTACTCTAGTACTGGCTTCAAGATTTTTAGCTCATATTCCATGCAAGTCATTACTGAATTTTTCTGAGACAAGAATTTGAGAGCCCCAGGCAACAGTGAGCAAGTGGCTTAGGGAATAAACCTGGAACACCCAGGCCTTTATTGCACTATGACATTTTTATCAGATACAATTTTTCTTTTCTTTACCACCACCTCCTTTAGTTCCCTTCTTACTGCCACTACATAGAACTTCCTAAAACACAAACATGATCATCACTTTTTATTGCTGTTTACAAACCTTTGATTCTAACCCAGTTCAAGATGGGAACCTTAAGACCTGAAATGTTTGATGGTGGCAGAACAGCGAAGTTCAGTAGTTCTCAAACTAGCATGTGTACAGTTTGCCTGGAATATTTGCCACACATGCCTTCTTTGGGTGGGTCTCTGCAAATCTGTGCTTGAAGCAAGTCCACCAAGTGACTGACAAGTGATCCTTGGGGAGCACTATAAGAATTGAGGCTGAATGAGTAAAAGCATAAACTTTACATTCAGTTCAGTTCTCGTTGCTTTCCTCCTTATAAAATGGCCATAATAAATACATCTGTACCTCATAAGACACAGTACCTGTCACACAGTGCATACTCAAATGGTAGATGGTGTCATTATAAATACAAGTGAGAGTAAATTGCTCAGGAGACCGATTTAATCTGCTTTATATCTTGTGCACAACCTATTTTGCAACACTTTACACCTAGTTGGTGATGACTGCATAAATGTTTGCAGCATTACACCATCTAGTCTTGAACAAAACGGGCACAGGACTTTAAAGCAGGTTATTTATAAAGGAAAGAAATCAACTTTGTGTTTTTAGTGCAAAGAACAAAAATCATGGTTTTCTCTTACTAGGGAAGAAAGCAGGTATTCAAAACAACATGCAGGCTTCCCTGGATTCCACAGGGTGTCACTGCCGGCTCCTCTTTTGGCTTGAGCACAGGTGAAAGGCTTGCAGGCCATTGGCAAGAGGGTTCTGAAAGCTCGGGTCAGCAGAATGACAGGATGGACTAAAATGTTACAGAGTTTCCGACAATAGGTCGGGATGAGTCAAGTCTCAGTTTCCAGGTGAAGCTTGTGCTGCTGGCTTGAGGCTTCCAGTTACGGAAGAAACCACAACATCCACCTACTGCGGAGCCCAGGCTTTCCCACAGGCTTATATCAGTTTCCCAACATTGATGTGCCTGCAAGTCACCTAGAGATCATGTTGAAATAAGGATTTTGGTAGAATCTGAGATCCTGCCTTTCTAAAAATTCCTAAGTGATGCTGACTGCACTAGACTGCACTGAATAAACAGCTGACAGCCCTGCCTGTTTCAGGTGATACATCTGAGATGCCAGATGTAAGATGCTTGGCATGGCACTGAGCACTGAGTCAAGCACTTGTGCTTAGCAGCTATAATGATGAGATCCTGCTATTCAGTGCAGTGCTTAAGATGTGGGTTTGGAGACCACCTTATAATCCAAGTTTGCTCTTTACCCACTGTGTGAACCAGGCATGTTAAGCAATGGCGTGGAGACTCCGTTTCCTCATTTATAAATTAAGGTCTACAGTAGCTTTTGCTTCACAAAGTTGTTATCAGGATCAAACCAGATAATAAATGTAAACTATTCAGGCTTTTTGCAAATGGCTATACTTAGCAGTACAACCCAAGAAACAGGTGATAAAAATGGCTGCAGCAGCACTGAAGTGACCTTTCACAGTTTGAAAAAATAGAATGTAACTAGAAAAAACAGCAAACACATTGTATCCATGATTGTAAAGTCTCACTAGAATACTGGTTGTTTACTGCTGTCAGATGTATCACCAGACAAGAAGAAAAGACTCAGAAAATATGGACATGCTTAAAGCCACCTTTCAGATTAGATTTGAAGAATTAAAAACTTATAAAAACATTAACGTCTTTTAAAAAATTCTTAGAAATTGATTGCATTTTACCAGAGAGGGCAGAT